ATAGATTTTAAGGCTATTTGATACATTTGATCTGTAGCTATGTGAAGTGCCTCTTTGATATTTTCAGCACGAGATTTAGAAGTAAAGGATTCCTTCTTGTAAGTCTTTTTCATAGGTACTCTGTTTCGTATCACTTTTTTTTTACAGCATTACAATTTCAAGTTTCACTATCATCAACATACTCAACATATTCGACATCATCATCTTCTTCTATTTTCTCTTTTTCGGAATCCTCTTCCTCTTCCAATATATATTCTTCTATGTATTTTTCTTCAGGATCTTCAGTCTCTTCTACCTCATCATAATATACATAATTAATCTTTTTAGTTCGCTTAACTCCAGGACAATTAATCTTTGTATGACTAATCTTTTTACAGACTGAGTAAAGACGAACAATTCATTTAATTGGTACTTTTTGTATCATCTTTTTAACAGATTTCTTTGTAGCATTTGTATTTCTAACCTGAGGCTTTGTGAAAAGACTCTTTCTAACATGAGCTGTTTTACCTCTCAGTCTTCTACCAAGTTCATCGTAAATAAATTTTTCTAAAGTTTCATCATCCATTGCTATTTCAGCATATGTTAAATCTTTTGCTAGACGTGTTTTAAAATCATTTTTTTTCAGAATGGGTAGTGTCTCTATTGTTTGCTGAATAGGTGCGATTCCATAAGAACCTGCTCCACTTGAAGTTATAATAGGATTACGTTCTAGCCATAGATTCTTTAGTTCTATAAAGTATGCATTTATATCAACAGGGTTAGCAATTTTCATCTATGTATAAAAGTCACCTGATAAGTGATTTTTAGAAATGATAGAGCTGTAGCATCATTATTTGCTACACCCATTAATAATGGACGAATTCTTTTTTCATATGTGTCAAGACTATCTATTGATAAAAATCTTTCTTAGGATAATCTCTGAATTGCTAATTATTGAATACCTATATTTTCATACTGATATTTTATTTGCATCTATGCTCTTAATGTAGCTGGAGAATTAATAGGAGTTGCAGGATTTATATAGGGATTATTTGTTGGAACTGGTATATATTTTCCTCCTAACTTAGATTTTAAAAGAACAAATTTAATCATATCATCAAAGTCCCCAGTATTGGCATTTTCAAGTGCTGTTATATTTGGCTCTAAATGTGAAATAGAATTCCAGATTTTATCTAAGTATTCGTTGGAGGGTTCCTGTCCAGTATATTGATCATGTTTTGCAAAAATAGTTGCTATTGTATTATATAATAGTTGTCTTTTAGCTTCTGTCATATTTCCTAGAGGATTATTAATTTGTAAATTTAAAATAATTTGCCTCAAATTTTTTTCCCTAGCCTTCTATTTTTGATATCAATTAAATACTCAGGCTCGGTTAAATTCTACTAAGTCAACCTCAGCTTTACGCCTTCGATTTATTAGCCGAAGGCCTACCTTTTCTTGTAATAATATATAATTACGCCTTTCTGCTCTCTGAGTTCTAAACCACTATACCCGATGCTTATTTGCTTCATTATTATATGCTAAAATTAATAATTGAGCTCTTCGAAGACATTCATTTCTAATATTTGCTATATCATTCATAAGGTTATTGATCTGTCCATTAGCCATATTAAGTAAGCCTTGATAATGTAAGGCCTCATTTGATATCTTTTGCATATGAGTACGAATAGTTATTAATATTATTCGTATACCATTTAAGGTATTTTTAGAGTCAAATGATCTATCTCCATTAACATATAATTCAATACGGTCTATAGCTGTAGCAATATCTCTTAAAAGTTCTGGTAATGCCATTGGTGAACTATTTATTTGGGATAATTTTTTATCTGTAATCTCTCTAATTCACTTTTTAAGCTGTTCAACCATGTCTTCTAGCCTTAAAATATGAATATCTTGAGCAGTACTTGCATTACCTTTATGTCTTAAATCCTGTAATGCTTTGTGAAGATGCTATTTAAGAGATTTTATCTCGAACTTAAGAGATGCTATCTCATCTTCGTGAGCTAATATTGTTGAATCCTGATGAGATAATGTCTTATAACAGTTTTCTAGCTTTCTAAAAAGCGATTTTAGCTTTTTATTCTTAAGTTTGCTTTCAGTTATTTCATCTTCTAATTCTTTGCGTAACTCTTTATTAGTATCTAGGATTTCGATATATGCTAGATCTATGTTGATTCCTATAATTCAGATAGATTCGGGTGAAGCTCAAAAACTTGATATTTCTATTACTTTGCAGAAGATTTATTATCAGTCTTTAGGCTATCAGAGGACTGCGAAAAAATTGCATAAAGCCTCTAAAAAGATTGGGTATGATTTTTCACTTGATGAAATGCGTGATTGGTTTGATAGACAGGCTGTGCATCAGATACATAAATCTCGTCCTAAATTTATTCAGTATGCTTCCTTTAATAATATACAATTTTTAAATGAAGTACACCAATCTGATACTACCTCTATGCCTCATAATAAAGTAGTTAATCGGATTTACAAGTATAGGGGTATTATTAAAGATGTTGCAACTAGGTATTGTCATAGTTTTGCAATGACTGATAAATCTTCTGCACAAATGGCTAAGAATATTCAAAAAATTTATGATAATCTTAAGGAGCCTCTCTCTTGGCCAAATTGTTTTAATTCTGATAAGAAAACGGAATATATGGAGAATTATAAGAGTTTATTGCTTAAACATGATGTAAAAATACAATATGGCAAAAGCAAGAAAGATAATGCTATAGCTGAACGTGATCATAAAGAATTTGAAAAGCATTCTGGTATTCAATAAGATGCTATGGATTTTCTGTTACCTTTATCAAATCGTTCTAGAAATTGGGTTAGAAGTCTTCATGTTAATGATGATATATTTAATAATACTCCTACTCGTTTAATAGGTATGTCTTCTAATGAAGCAATAGAAAGAGCACTTAATGGGAAGAAAATAATTGCTAAGCCAGCCGTAAAACACAGAAGACCTATTGGATATGATGAACCTTGTTTATCCTATTATGACTTAGTGAGATATCTTCTTAAACTAGGAGAGTTAGAACATGGTCCTGCTAGAAGACGTGCTACTGATATAAATTGGTCTCCTTAGGTTTATTATATTCATGAATTTTTAATACAAAAAAATCAGCTGGTCTTATACTGGCTAATAGATGATGAGGCAATAGTCCAAAAAGATCCTTTGTAAGAGAGGAATTAATGGTTATTTCTGATACTGAGTTACCACCCCAGTAGGTACTTGCGAATTAGTTTTTATTTTTTTGACACAGAATTGCCTCCCTATTAGATCTTATCAAATTAACGACAAGAAGTCTTCTACTTCTTCATCAGCTTGTGCTTTGGTATTAAAATATTTCTTGGCTAATCTATAGTAAAGTTTATATAGCTCTATAATTGTATTAAGAATTTCTGGATCTTTACCATACCAATCTTTGTATTCACTCATAATTTTATTATATTTGTCTTCATTAGGAAATATTGTTTGAGCTAATTTTAGTACATATTCTTCAGGGTCTTCTGCCTGGCGCAATTTTCTAATTCGCTCTTTATAGCTTTGCATGAATTTACCTTCTTTTGGCCTTCTATAATATAACCTTGCTTTGACGACATTTATTAGTGCCTGCTCGACTTCTTGAGATGTGGGCTTTGTTGGGATGTTTTGGTTAACTTGTGTATCTACTGCTTTTGTTATTTAAATTTGGATACTCATTGTAAAAGTGTTTGTTCTCCAGTGTTTGTATTAATATAACGAGATCTTTTATTTAAAATAAAATATTTATTTCTTATTTACTATGTTAGGCGAATATTCTTGCAACTATTTACTCAGAACTGGAGTTGTCTGTGAGCGGACTTGCCATCAGCCTGAAGGATGCTTTGAACATTGGAAGGCTAAGAAGCGTCTTTCTTGCAAGGTTTATAGTAAGCTAACTAGCTCTGAACTTGGCCTTTGTAGAAAGCATGCTAATAGTTATTATGTGACCCAGTATATTAATAGGCTATGGATTAAGGCTTTGGATACTTATCAAGAGGTTAAATAGGCTAACTTACTTCAAACTATAGTGAGAAAAATTTTCACCTGACCTATTTTTTTTTTTTTTACACCTATCCCAAATTTATTTTACACCTGGCCTGAAAAATTTACACCTATTCCATATTTTTTATACCTAAGGTTAGACTTTTTGACCCTAACTAGTTGAGATTGAAATGGTTCAAGAATGATTTCCTGTATATCGAGAAAATATTTGTATACTAGAATATGTTCTATAACTTTTTAACTTTCTTGTACACATATAAAAAATTTACACCTAAGACGAGCTTAAGTGTAATTTTTTTACTTTGCTAGATGATAATGAATTCTTTTTAAAATTAATTTTAGGATATCTCATAAATTAGTATGCATCTTAGGCTTGACAAGGTCGTAGCCTCGAATATTTTGTCACTTCGTTTCTCAATATTCGAGTCTACTCCTAAAGGCAAGCAGTATAGCATAAATATTAGTATACATAGAAGGTTTGCAAAGTCTCCACGAGCTTGGCTTCAAACTTTTGGTTCTTGTCAATCTCGCCTTGTCTTAAAGGCAAATAGAATGGTATATTTTTTTGATATCTTTGGTGGGTTTAAAATCGCGCTAGAAAGGTTATATCAATTTTATTAATTTTAGATTTTGAAGCTCAAATTTTATAGCAAGGAATATGATAACGAAATTGAACGTTGACACAAATTTTAAACCTGAATTCTATATTATAAATTCGTATAGCTAGAAGGACTTTTGGCCTATGATTGGAATCTTTTTGGATATCTTTTTGATTTTTTTGACCCCAGGACTCTCAAATTTGTCCTACTGGATAATTTTGACTTAAAACTCAACTTGACTCGACTCATTAGGAATAATATATATAACAATAGTAAGATTTTCTCTTATATTTCATATTCTTTGTATTTTTCTAATATTCTTGCATAGTTAGTATTTTTATTTATGTATGAACCTATATTACTTATAACAAAGTAGTAAAGAAATAGCAAATTTATATTGTGATTATAAGGACAAAAAAAACTAAAAAAAAGGTTTAAAGTTGAAAAAAAAATTAAAATAAAATAAATAAAATTTGATCACATTATCTACAAAATTCACATTATTCATAAAAGTTGTGTCATTCATATCATATAATATAATATAATTTTATTTTAAAGAATGCTAAAAATTTAAAAATTTAAAAGTAAAAATGATGATTGATGATTATGATTAATATCTTCCTTTTATAGTATTTCTGTTATATAATATTTCCCTTATATAATACCTTTATCTAAATATAATACCCCCAAATACTATTCAAAATTAAGCTTGAATTTGCTTAAATAGTATCTAGTACTAATATTAGCACTATATAATAATTTAAAATTATATATTGCCTAGTTATAAAAAATGAAAAGTCCCATCCCTATTAATATTTGTTAATCCACTCTTATTCGCTCTTTACCAAAGCATATCATTCTCCTAGAGTATGCTTATTGCTTTTTCTATTTCTCATTGGTATTAAACCAAGATGATGTAGTTTCCTTATTCTCAAAAGAACAATAGATTATTTCTTCTCCTATTAATCTTTCTTATACTATCATATTCATATATTTTTTGAGATTATTTTCTAACCTATAGCTTAAGTATATATTCGTAAATTAGTTTCTATTCTATCACAAAATACAATAGAATTGAGTTAATCTTTTTCAATGATAGTTATAAAGATATCCAGGTTTTCACTACTCTTTTTCTGAGATATTCTTCTTGCTGTTATCTAGTCAGAGATGTGAAAGAAGCTTCTTTATTACTAGATTCAATATATTTAGAAGGTTTACTGGCTTTAGGCTTATCAATTAATGACTCAAAGGGAATAACTTTATCATTAGAACTATTAGTCTTAAGGAACTTACCCTTAGTATTTTTAACAGATCTCTTAGAAGTTCCAGATGTTTTAGATATTGAAACTATTAGAACTTTTGCTTATTCTGCTATATATTAAAAAGAGCTTGAATTGAATTATTCTAGCTATGATTATTCTTTTTGCCCTTATTACTAGGTGGTGATATATTTTTTTCTGATTGTAATGCGCAAAAACTTTTCTAGTACATTAAATATAAGTATATTTATAGTTTTATTTATGAGTAAGTCATCTTAAGGTATATCAAAAAATTCTTTGATATTATTTAAGTTAAATTTATAGAGCTTGGTATAATTTTAGAGTTTAGTCACAATTTTAGAGCAGTCAAGAATATACTAATATACTCTTATTCCATTATCTCATAAATATGTCTAATTAATACTAATTAGTAAAAACTTCTTTTTAACAACCTTACTAATTAATGACTTTTTTTCTTATATTCACATTATTCAAGATAATTTTGGTATATTTTTTTAAAGCTAAATCTTCTAACATAATTTTCAGGTCAAGATGCTATATAATCAATTATAAATTGAATAGAATTAGGTAGTTAGTTTCATATTATATTTCTTTCATTTTACTAAAAGGAATTTTTTCTGGTTTAAATTTTGATAAATAATAGCTAAGAAGATATGACATGACTATTCCTAATACATTAAGATGGTCTAGAATTTTTCTTAACCAGTCAAAATATGATATATTATCCTTATAGTATATTAAAATATTAAAATAAACTATACGAGAATCTACTATATTTATTTTGAGCAAGATATCCTGATTGCTTATAATTATATATCTAGCAAAATTATTTAATTATTTAAGTTTAAGTTCCTTTCGTTCTATAGATACTTTTCCTTCTATTATGAGAAATTTAAGATGTCTATTAAATTTATGTCAATCATTACTAGACATACCTGTTTTATTAATAACAATAAGCTTTCAAGCTTGAATAATGCTATTAAACTACTTAAGAATTTTTTCTAAATCTAATATTATATAATAAAGATGTTGTCCTAAGACTTTGTTACTAATAAAATCAGTAATAATATTTTTTCTGTACTGTTATAGTGTAAATTTTAATAATAAGATTATTTAAGACTTGTTCTGTAATTTCTGTACTAAATATAGCTATCAGTTCTAAATATACTTATTAAGATCTTTATTTCCATCACAAATTATATTTTTTACATATTAAAGAATCAGATCCATTATTTTTTTATTAATTTCTATCATTAACTTAACCAAAAATCCTAGAAAAAGATTAAAAAAATCTGTGTTTAACTGGTGAACATTTATTAGATATGAAAGAAAGTTATAATCTTTATAAATAATTAGATCTTTAGTAGTTGTTTGATCTATCAATGATTTTAACTTTATCAATTTTCCATCATATTCAATTATATTAATCTTGAAATCAGTAAAATTTAATTTAGTTTCTATATCAAAGTAAAGTTTATACTCTGCATTTTTATGCTTAAGAAATCACAATTTTGTAATTTCTTATACATAGAAAACTGTTGTTTGAATAGCTTCATAAACTTTAGTGTAAGAGAATTTCTTACCTGAAGTATACATACGTAATAAATTTCACTATACAAAATAGTCATTTAGATTTAAAATTCTGGATTATTTTAATTTTACTGAAGTAGGGAGTTTTCTTTCTTTATCCAAACCTGATTTACTGATAATAAGTTTTTTCAAAGGCTTTTTTGGACTATAGATGCCTGCTGAAACCTCTTCAAAATAATTTCATTATACCCTTTTCTATGTTTTTAATATAGTTTCGACAGTTTCAGCTTTTGTCATATCAAATGGATTTTGTCGTATCCCTTATTATGATTTTAATATA